TTTTTAAATATAACGATTTTCAACCAAAAGTTATAATATATGTATATATATATATATATATATATTAGTGCTTTTTTTGTTTCTAATTTAGTTTTATTTTACAGTATCCGTTATGAAAAAATGCTTTACATTCAAGGAAATGACTAGAGGCTAAAGGTACCGTAAGATTTTCAAAGTTAGACCCTAGGCAATTTAAGTTATAATTTTATTCAGTAGCTCCAGACAGTAACACAAAAAGAATTAATATCAGCAGAAAAGCGCAGGTGACAAAAGTGCCACAGCAAAGCGACAAGACATAACAAGATCGAGAAATAAAGAGCAAGACGAATATTGAAAGTGAATTAATTTAGTTTTTTCCATAGGACGAATTTTGTTTGGTTAAAAGATATTGTTTGACCCTATTTTTGAAACAGTATGTAGACATTTGTTTGAATTGGCAGGGGGTAGATCCTGCCAAAAAATCGTTGCTATTGAAAGAAAAGTTTGTCTGCCGATGTTAGTACGAAAGCAAGGGAGGTCAACTCAAACACTCTCTGCTGAAAGAGTTGCAAAACGGCGTTGTAGTTATTTACTTTCTTTGCAAGATTATTCTATAATTTATTCTATTACGGGTGACGACCCTCGTTTGCCATCTCATCATAGTAGGTGGCCCTTCATTAATCATGCATATTTTCTTAGTATATTCTGTTTTTACTTCCATTTTCACGTAAGATTTTAGTGTAAAATCTGCATTTACTTTATTTGCAAAGTTTGTTTTTATTTGCAATCTAAATGCCATTTTCGTACCAATTTTGATTTCATTTTAAATTTAATTTAACAGATCAAAAACAGTTTTCCGTGTTTGATACTCTGATCAAAACACGCGGGATGTTGGGAGAACACGAGAGGAGCTTCTAAAGTGTTCTCCCAACATCCCAAGTGTTTTGATCAGAGTATCAAACACAGAAAACTGTTTTTGATCTGTTTTATAAAATAACAAACGCGCGAAAAGATCGAAAAAAAGCAAAGTSTAAKTAAATTCTCCCTACGTGCCGTCTTATTCAAACTGACCAATGAGCGCGCGCGATAGATTAAAAATGACGATAGTGTGTTTTGATACTCTCATCAAACATGGTTTTCGACCAATCCTAGCGCGCGTAGTATCCCAATTATTTTATAAACTGGTTTGAATACTCATGAAAACAAGATCAATTTGATTACCCGATTAAAAATGAAATACAAATTTATTTATTATAACAATTCATAAACTAATATATATTTCTACTGAAAGCAAAAAGTTTTTGACAATGCTAGACCATTACAAAAAAATAAGAATTACGAAAAGCCGAATGAAAAAAAAAAAAAGATAATGCTCGGAAAAGACTGGGTTCTAAAAGAGATACTCAGCAGAGACAAATATTTCAGCCAAATCCCCTACTAATACTTTGATCTTAGTAAAATAAATAAAACTATATTTAAATCCATGAGACCCACTACTAAACTACCAGAATTGCTTGTGGTTGGTTGCGTAAATGAATAAATGAATAAATGTCTGGGGTCAAGATCATTCTCCCATTCTATTTTATACTTTCGGTTGACGTCGCCGTCGTAGATTTTGCAATCTTAAAGTCCCTAATGTGTGTCTACAACGTGGTTAAATTAACACTAAACTAATAGCCGCTTTATGAATAACACAGCAAACGAAGTTAAGAAGTCAACAAGCTTTTCTTATAGTCATTAATACGTTACTAAATTCCTTAAAATACACCATACATGGGTGGGTAACTGCGAAAATATCATTGAAAGTAAATTGTTTTGGACTACGATATGTAAATGCACTGCAACTCGAAACCAAGTCAGTAGTAACAGACAAAATTCCCGAAGTCGAACTCTCTTTTCGAGGGCTTTTTTTTTTTTTTTTTTTTTTTTGCGCGAGCGAGCTGGAATACTTTGGGAAAGTCTTTGGGAAATTATATAGGAAAACAAAGGCGCGCGCAAAAAAAAATTTTCTAGTGCATTTTTTTATTGATTTTTTTACTCTTTCGCATTACGGAGGACATTATCTTGATCTCGAATTTTAAAAAAAATTAATTATTTAATATTTCCAATTTTATTTTCACCATTCACTTTAGTCTAAATTGGGCTCCCTGTGCCCAGAGCCTTTGTTTCTTACACCGCATGCTCGTCGAGCATGCGCAGTAAAATATAAGAATACGGGTACGAGATTGATCCTTAGAGAGAAACATTATCTTGTGCATGCGTCGGACGAAAGCAAGTTTAACTTGACAAAGAAAGAAACTTTTGTTGGAATCAAACTAAAGCTTTTTTCCTTTTCCTCCTTGCATCATCTTCTTGTTTTCCTTTTTCTTTTCGTTTTCGAACTTCTTCTTCTTCTTCTTCTTCTTCTTCTTCTTCTTCTTCTTTCTGTTCTTCTTTTTCTTTTTCTTTTTCTTCTTCTCCTTCTCCATCAGTTAAAGTCAAGTCGTTCATCAGTCAAGAGAACCAACATTAAGTCAACCACAGAATCAGAAGTCTTCTCCAGAACAATACCCCCTTCAGGCTCCGCCAATGATGCAGCAAGGTCAGCCAATGATGCAGCAAGGTCAGCCAATAATGACGCAGCCAGGTCAGCCAATAATGACGCAGCCAGGTCAGCCAATAATGACGCAGCCAGGTCAGCCAATGACGCTGCCAGGTCAGCCAATGATGCAGCAAGGTCAGCCAATGATGATGCAGCAAGGTCAATCAATGATGATGCAGCAAGGTCAAGTGGCACCAATGCATTCCCAAACTACCAGCAATACAAACGTGATAATGATCAACCAGCAGCCTGTTACTGCCCGTGCTGCCCCACGAGAGTGGAGTACGGGATTGTGTGGCTGCTTTGACGACTGTGGCACTTGTAGTACAAAATTTCTTTCTGTGCTTGGAACAATGCACATAATACAGGACGAGAATACACATGGTACAGGATGTAGAGTACAGGGCACAGGGCACAGGATGAAGGATATAGGGCACAGGGTACAGGGTGGAGAATATAGAGCACAGGGTACAGGGTGGAGAATATAGGGCACAGGGTACAAGATGGAGAATATAGGGCACAGGGTACAGGATGGAGGATATAGGGCACAAGGTACAGGATGTAGGATATAGGGCACAGGGTGCAGGATGGAGGATATAGGGCCCAGGGTACAGGATGAAGGATATAGGGCACAGGGTACAGGATGGAGGATATAGGGCACAGGGTACAGGATGGACGATATAGGGCACAGTGTACAGGATGAAGGAAATAGGAGCAATGGGCACAGGGTCACAGTGGGTACAAGGGACAGGGATACAGTTCGGTAAAAGGGACTGAGTCACAGTGGGTACAAGGGACAGGGTCAAAGGGGGTACAAGCGACAGGGTCACAGTGGGTACAGGGGACAGGGTCACAGTAGGAACAAGGTACAGGGTCACAGTGGGTACAAGGGACAGGGTCACAGTGGGTACAAGGGACAGGGACACAGTGGGTACAAGGGACAGGGTCACAGTGGGTACAAGGGACAGGGACACAGTGGGTACAAGGGTCAGGGTCACAGTGGGTACAAGGGACAGGGAAGGGGTGTACAGGTCATTATGTATAGGACACAGGGTATAGGGCACAGAGGACATGGGTTAAGTAGGGTTAAGGGGAGGGCGTTACAGGGCTCATGGTTAGCTCTGACAGTTGACCTGTTTTGAAATCAATTATTTATCACGAGTTTTTTCTTCGTTTAAGGTTGGTATGCGATTTTCTGTGGAAAATATTTGTTGTGTGACATTTCTCAACGTCTAGGAGAGGGCAGATGCTTCACCGTTTGTTGCCCGTTTCCTCTTCTTAGCCTCAGGATAAAATTCAGAGCTGAGCAAAACATCAAAGTATGAATTTTAAAGTGATCTGTGTAAAACCTCTATTGCAGATTCTCAAAGTCCTTGTTCAGCGTTATCTAACCACTACACGAGGTTTATCAATTCATATATAATTTTTATATGCATTCATTCGTTAGGGATCGCTGTGCAATGACTACTTGACGGTTGAATACTGCTACTATTGCGCCTTGTGTCAGCTGGCGAGGGAGATTGACCACGTTCAACACATACAAAGAGTCAATTGAGGTTGTAAGCCACATGGTAACTAAACGATGTTCGCTAATTTTCAGCAATTTCGTTTACAGTCTAGCTTGATAGTAGAGCAGTAATACGTAATGGATTTTTGTCGTTTCTCTGCCAGTTATATAATCAGCATTTTATTCTATCTTATTTTGAAACCGTTAAAAGAAACTACAAAGGTTTCTTATAGCTTCTGATGCCGTTCGGTGCATGAGAAATACGTCTAAACTTTGTAGACGTCTAACCATGTGTAATGATAATAATAATAACCTTTATTTATGTGTCATAAATATCTAGCTTACATTAAAGTAGGCTAATAGGCCCTTTGCAGCTCAATAATCACGTGCTGATTAATTCACTGAGAGCAAATGAATGAACATCTTGATTCCCATGGGTGAAATATACTGGTGAGCAAACAATATTTCTACAAAGACCTGTTTCGAGAGATCGTAATAGAACTGCATTTCGTAACACACTGGTTACACATCGCTTCATTCAGTTATTAACAAGTAGCTAAAAAGAATCACCGATTTAAAATGAAATAAAAACTTTTGCTCACCAGTACAGACACGTGACCGTTAACTGTAAAAGACCTATTACATGGGACACCTATCTAAAGAGAGAAAAATATACATAATATAAACATATATAATATATCATATACGGTGCGGTTTTCACGCAGAACTCCGAACCGCCAGCCTCAAGGGAGGAGAACCCGCACAGACCGCTACCACAACCACCCGGCCCCCACCCGCCCAAGCGAACCAGAAACCCGCGCGAAAAACGCACCGACACTTATCTTAATATTTAAATAATCAATAAATTCAAAAAACACATGCTATTTACAATCTAAAGAGTTTCCTCATAAAATATACCTTAGAACTATATAAAATATTCCATCTAAGATGAATAAAACCCGCCATGGTATAACCCCCCCACCCCATCCAAAAATTGTCTAAAAGACTACAATAGTCATTAATACTAGGGCAGTTGTGACATTTGTCCTTCAGCAACGCTTCAAGATCCTTTCYTCTTATGTTGTTCTTAAAACTATTTAGCGATTTGGAATTTCTGATTTCGTTATCTAATTTGGACCAGAGCATAGGACCAAGGTACTTTAAGCTATGTTTGCCGTAAGAAACGGTATTAAACCTAGGTATCACAAAATCACTATTTCTCAAGTTATACCCACTATTATTCTTTTCAAATAAGAATTCTTGGACATAAGATGGGCAAAGTTCATTTTTAACTTTATACATCAAGATACCAATGTCCTGTATATGTCGGTTCTTTATCGTTGGTAACTTTGCCAGTTTGAGAAGTTGTTCATAAGTAACATATATATAAGTTATATATCGCTTTTAAAGCTTTTTCTTGGATACGTCCTAGTTTCCTTTGGTCAGATGCTCGACAGAAATGCCAAATAATATGACAATACGTTAGGC